CCAAGCAACGACAGTTTGAAAGTGGTGGCAGTTGGTCGGCGATTGTTGAGAAGCGGAGTTGGACTCCGACGGTGGCAACAACCAGAGAGTGGTGGTTCGACAGGGGTGTCTTATAATTAAATATTCTCTAAACCACACCTAAGGTATCACTAGTGTTATCCTATCTAGAATAAACCAATTTCTCAAACATTTATATATAATTTAAATATAAGAAATTTATGTAAATAAATTAAAGATTTAGGCATTAATAACGAAAATATAAAAAAAAAAAATTGGAAGACCAGATTTATATATAATTTTGACATTTCTAGCACTCTCTCTACCTATGCTTCAAAAGGAGTGTTTCACTTCTTAGAAGTTACAAATAGCTGCTGTATCTCTTACTTTGAATGTCATAAATATGAAAATCAAAGTTTAGATATTTGATGAAATTGTATGGTATGTATGTAATTGCATGATTTACATGTAAATTATAATGTTTTCTGCTAGAGCTTTCCACTACATTACAACTGTTAGCAGCCTTTGCTTAAACTATAATCAAGACTGGAGATTAGCAGCAAAATGATGCGTGTTTATCTTAAATTAACTTTGTTTTTGTTAGCTGGCTGCAATAATATATGTCAACAAGTTGGCCATATTTAATTGCTTGATTATTTTTATAAATTGCAATATTGACCCTGGTTTCCCACCATAATCTCGTGGTTTGAAGACCAGTTAGTCAGGCTATAAAAGCTAGCTGGCAAATGAGCCTTTGCTTATACTATATATATGCTATTTTATATGTGCATGAAAGGTCTATTTTGCTTTGTAAATTTTAATGTATCAGGGTTTTTATTTGATATAAAATATTTGGGTGTAGGGCTGTCAAAAAAAGCTTGTTGTTCGCGAACAGTTCGTGTTTGGTTCGCCAACGAGTTCGTGCTCGATTCGTTCGACAAGTAAACGAGACAAACGTGAACATTTTTTTTCGTTCGGTTAGTTAAACGAACCAAACACGAACAGTGGTGCGTTCGTTCGTGTTCGACTCGTTATTGTTCGAAATATAAAATAATTTAAAATAATTATATATATAAAAAATTATGATATTTTAAAAAATTAAATTTTATAAATTATAATATATATTAAATTAATAATAATAATATATTAATATACATTTATATAATATAAGTTATATAATTAATATAATATATTATTTATATATATTAATATTAGGGATGTCAAACTGGCTCGTCGTTCGCTAATCACTCGTGTTCGGCTTGTTCGTTAAGAAGCAAACACGAATATTAACTTCACGAATAATTTCGAATACGAGCTTATTTCAAACAAACTAGATTTCAAACGAACCGAACACGAACACAAGCTCTGTTCATTCGTGTTCGGTTCGTTTACACCCCTATTTGCGTGGTATAGCTGTAAAATGTAAAATTCAGGTGTTAGATATGTAAATACAATATGTAAATTAAATACATGGGAATTGGGTGATATGTATGTAAATGCCCCTTCTTTTGTTTTGTAACGAGGTAGGCTTTATCATCCAGCTGCTAGAAGCTACTAGAAACATTTATCTATGGAAAGGATAGCATCCTTGAATGGTGCTCTTGTGGTGCTCTACAATTAGGACCCGCACGTACCCAATTCAATGTAGAAGAAAATTGAAAAATTGGTACAGATAATTTTATTTAATTTTTGTGTTAAAAACATAGAAAATCGGGTGATTTGTAAGTAAAAATTGAAGTTTTATTCATTGATTTGTTAATATATAAGAATTGTGTGGTATGTAGGGCAGTGTGGTATGTAGGGCTGTCAAAACGGCTCGTTGTTCGCGAACAGCTCGTGTTCGGCTCTTTTTAACTCGAAATACCACTAATGAATTATATTTATATATATCTTTGATGAATAGTATTTAAAAAAATAATAATTGACCATAAGACTAAAAAGATTTATAATAAATTAAAAGTATTAATGAAGAAAATATAATAAAAATTATTAATTTAGATTCAAACGATATTTTAAATCTTGCCCTAATCCTTAACATCTTATGGCTACGTGATTAGGGTTATCAAAATGACTCTTTGTTCGTGAACGG